CTTGATCTAGCAATGCATAACATAAATCTGTAGAAATATTATTTTTCAAGCCGCGAACATAGCTTTGATTATAAATAAAGGTACTGCAGAGACCGAATTTACAGAATTCGAGCCGTGGCATAAATTTAAGCCGCGGCTCAAATAATGTGAGTTCCACTTAAAATTGTATTCTATGTTTCAAGATTTAAGCCCGCGCTCAATTGAAACCGGTTTTTGGTGGACGCGGCTCAAATTCATTAAATTCGGACTCTGTTTGTAGATACTGAGATGAACATAAGCAAAGCTCAGACTGAGCAGCATTACGTTTGTTTGTATTCCTACCAGAATCTTTAGTACGGGTAATTTGTAAACAAACTAGGGTTTCCAAAGCAAATGGATTTTATTTGCGAGCCCTGTAATTTCTCAATTCCGAGCAATTCCACACAATTCCGCGCAATTTCGCGCAACTTGAGAACAGTTGCGCAAAATTCCGCCGCACAACAGAATTGCGATTGGAATCCTTAAAACAAACCTAAGAAGTTTCTTCCCTGGATTAGAAGTATTTATGAGAATATATAAAAAGAAACTGAATATTCACCAGAATCTCTAATCCCTATGTTTTTCAACCTTTGATATTTCCAACTATTAGGTATTGAAGAATGTATAGTCCTGCCGTTTAATTCGACCTACTTTAATAACCAACTATAGTTTGACCTATCTAACACTCTGATTTAGTTTGACAATTTTCAAAACATTCTACGGCCCGGCCCCCCTCCCCCCACCTACGCGGGCCCCAAAAGTTTCATTAAAAAGCTTTGATCAATACTGCCTTCAGTGTAAATATATCTTTGATATCATTATATTATTAAATTTATAATTATTTATCATTATTTTTAATTGTGTCGTATTTGTATCGTTTCTATGAAAATATAGATATTTTTTAAGAAACGTTTCCATCTCTATTTTTCACCCATTGAAGCTTACACTACAGTATTAAGAGGAAGTGTTTGATGAGTCCACTTAAGAAAATTACATAAATAATTTATCAACACTTATTATATGGAAGTGTGTATATGATCGAATAGTTTACATAGTTAAAAAGGTATCAATATTTTTTTCAGAAAAGGTGTTTTTAAGGGGGGGGGGCACAAATGCTCTCGTCTTTGTTTGTTTGTTAAGATATCCGATTATAACTAATGATTGGATAAATCAGGAGAACCACGGGAATGTTCCTAACTTGGCTTAAAAATTTGAGTTGAGTTGGTAGACTGAATAAGAAAATTTCAGGCAAAGCTGGGTTTCCAAGTTAGTATTTATATTAAAGTACAGAAAACTCTGGAATAGGAAGATGACTTGAAGAATCAAGTTATAGCTTTAAAAAGTCCAATGAGCACAAGACACATGGCAACTGTGTAGTGTAAACAATCCCATTTCACTAAATTAGTGATTTAATAAGTGTCAAGTAAAATAAAGTAATTTGTAATAACATCAAATACACTTAAAGGGAGTGACCGGCTATGTAAGATAGTTGAACTGAGTATGCAGTGTTGTGGAAAACTTCTTTCGGATTCATTTGAGACATATTAAACTTGTTAAAGATCAGTAAATCCTGAGTTTGAGCACAAATTCGACGTTCAAAACTCCTATTTTGGGGTGGATACGTTTTCAGAATTAGTTTTTTTTTAATTATTAAATAACGACAACGAAAAATAAAGAAAAAAATATAATGTAATCTAATTAGATGGTTAGGAACATATTTCTCAAAAGAAATTTGTCAATAAATCAATGCTAAAATCGATTATTTCATTTTCATTATTATATTGATTTCTTATTTTCTTTGAATTTATTCGCAGATTTCTTAAAATTCTTCAAATGTCGTCTTTTCAATAATAATTCTAGAAAATCTGAGAAAATCTTTGTGAATAATGAGAAAGAAGAAAGAATAATGAGAAAATAGAAACTAATTATTGAACAAAATTACTTATTTTCGATAATAAGATTAATTTTTATTTTCTCAACATGTTCCTGCATGACGTCTGCAGTAGTTTATTGTTGAACTTTTTTTACATTTTATGTTGTCGTTATTTAATAATTTAAAAAAACTAATTCTGAAAACGTATCCACCCCAAAGTAGGAGTTTTGAACGTCGATACGTCACTCCCTTTAAGATTTGCTATAATATCGTCTTTCTAATTAATTGTTTTCTGGTTATCAAACTGTAGTTAGCCCAATGAGTAATTAATACTTATTAATACTGCACGACACTACAGTTTATCACTGCAGTTTATATCCACTTGGTGTTTTGGTTAGAAATCAAAATGTCAAAACTTTTAAACTCAAACAATCTAAAACAATGCATGTTGTGGAGCAATCTCTGTTCGGCTAAATGTCTGTGTGTATGTCCGATCATAACTCACTGACCCCTTGATCGATTCAGGACAAATTTTGATCTGAAAACTCGGTAAAACCACGGAAATGTTCTATAATTTGGTTTTTAAGTTCCGAAAAGAAAATCAGACACATGTTTTCAAGATGAGTTTGAAATAAGTCGACACTTCATTCTCATGTTTATTGGGACACCTTGTATACTTCTATACTTTTAACTTGTTTAAACTAAGCTCTATAGTGTCGATATTATAATTTGGATTGAGCATTTAAATATCGCAGCGGGATCCTTACTACATTCCATACCAGCTCATCACACTACATATTACACACATCACACTATATAGAGTACACACATCACACTATATAGAGTACACACACATCACACTAAATATAGTAAACACACATCACACTATATAGAGTACACACATCACACTATATAGAGTACACACATCACACTACATAGAGTACACACATCACACTATATAGAGTACACACATCACACTATATAGAGTACACACATCACACTATATAGAGTACACACATCACACTAATCACACTACATATTACACACATCACACTATATAGACTACACACATCACACTATATAGACTACACACATCACACTATATATAGTACACACATCACACTATATAGAGTACACACATCACACAATATAGAGAACACACATTACACTATATAGAGTACACACATCACACTACATAGAGTACACACACATCACACTATATAGAGTACACACATCACATTTTATTGAGTGAGACATTTTTTTATTCGTGAAATAAAACAAAATTATTTCAAATAATATTCCGCATATTACACACTCCAGAATGATATTCCTAGGAAGTCAAACCATATAAGATATCTAAATCACTCACAATATTGCACATATCATACTTGAAATAAATGAAAATATATACAAATGGTTTATAAAAAATGTTTGCTAGACACTGAGCATATACTTGGTAAAAAGTTGTCTGGTTCGTATTCTCCTTTTTCAAAAATATCTTTTCAAATCATAAAATTTAGAGCAGCGGTCTGACATGATATCTTGGTAACCAGACACCTCCCTCCTACTGTCTTGAGTTTTATGTTGCATTAAAATATTTAGTATCACTCAATAAATCACACAATCACACCTCAACCTTCACACAACATAACATATATGTGTATTTAGAATACTTGCATTTGCATGTCAACCATATAAGGGGGTACCGGGAGTAAATATCACGTGGATTTAACGGTTCTGTTAATATTCCAGAGAGCTGTGACTTTCGATCACAATTTGACCCATTAAACATAATTTGTTAGCCTTTTTATTAAATACTTTTTTGTTGGCATATGCATTTTGAATAAAAATGTATAAAATAAACAAATCCGTAAAGTAAATGATTATTGAATTAAAGACCAATACACGTTTGATTTCAAATAGAAGAAATCGAATGCTGCTCACTCTGGTTAGTCCGGTGTGATATACTCCAGAGCGTGACAGGGTGTCCTGGTTTATATAAAAAAGGGCTACCCAACCCGTCAATATGTAAATCCAATTTTATAAATTACTTTTTAATGGTTGGTATAGAAATATATGTAGAAGAAGTTATCAAAATACTGAAACAAATTGCATATAGCCGTCGCCGAAATTCCGAATTCTCATTCTTTGTGGGTAAACCTGTTTATTGTATGATACGTGTATACACCATGGTTTTTTTTTAATTTTTCTAAATCTAATAAAAAACATATTTATATCTATATACAATGTTTTTAAGGTTTCTTTTAAATATCTTGTTTAAACTAGATTATACAGCAAATTGTTCCACGAAAAAAGCCTTTAAAAACAAAATAATAAACATTTATATTCACGCTGTAAACAATATTTTATGGTTTATAATATCTGACCAAAGGCTAAAACTTTTGGTGTATAACCACATCGGGTTAACTTGATTATGACACTTTTATATTAGAGGATTTGAGTAAAATTCATTGATACAAGAGAGATTCAGCAAGAGATGATAGAGATTGATTGATTGATTAAAAGAGAAAGGTTAAAAAATACGACGACTTGAATTGAACCAGAGCGGATTGAAAAAGATTTAAATACAAAAGTTTTGACCTCATAAAATACTTTCAGGAATCTGACCAATCCTTTACTCTAAACTTTCTACAAAATCTGTGAGGCCATGCAAATAAATTAAACTTGGCAATAGGTCACATAGTTGGCGATAAAATTAGTTTATCATTAGGTTTACAGGATCCTTTAACTCTATTTATTGGTTTAAAGGTTTGAAGGGCAACCTTTAAGGGCTCGTTAAAACCCATTTGGAATGTAAACCTAGGAATATGATCACTGAACCCCATCCCATAAAAAACATCCTGACACGCAAAAATTCCAGACAAGCTCTGTGAAAATATTTATGCCAATATTAATTACAGGTCGGACAAGCTTTTTAGTAACTACGTGGCGGGCTATAAATCCCTTCACCGTGACGTCAGGGATTCGAGACGGTGCGGGGCGGCCGGAAGAGTTTTCGCGGATTTGTCCCAGACCGGCGCGGAGCGGAGCATACGGCGCGGAACTAGAACGGGATTTAGAGATCTAGGGTTCACGTGACCAGGAGCAGAGATCTCTACTCCCGGTGATCTCAACGCATTGGCGCATCTTCAACCTTCGAATCCTCTTCAGTCGCTCTTTGCCCTTCATAGTACGCGCACGTGCACCTTAGGCTGCCTTTGCAACAATTACTAGAACATAGAAAATGATTTCTGAAATCGGAAAAATGGACGGTTCTCCTATGTTTTCAACCGAACAGGTAAACAAACCCCCTTTCACAATTAAAACAAAACAAAAACTTATATTCTGATTCTGTAAAAAATAGTGTTAATTTTAATTTATTTCAGTTTTCTACCATGGATCCAATGGAAAACCAACTGTGTCGAGTTTGTGAGGAGAAGGCGGCAGGATTTCATTTCGGAGCTTTTACATGCGAGGGATGTAAATCCTTCTTCGGCAGATTCTGCAACAATCAGACCAATATCCCAGACTGCAAGAACAGCTTTAAATGTGTGATAGATAAGAGGAATCGAACCTCCTGTAAAGCATGTCGTTTGAGGAAGTGTTTGTCAGTTGGGATGTCCAAATCCGGTTGTCGGTATGGAAGAAGATCAAATTGGTTTAAAATTCATTGTCTTATGCAGAAAAATGCTGAAAAATCTGTAAAACAGGAACCATCTGTTCACTCAGCTCCCTCCAGCCTCCCCACCCTCATCAACCGTCCAACCAACCTCTCATATTCTTCACTCTTTACCTCCTCTGCCCTCCCAAGCTCCCCCTCCCTCGCCCTTCCACCCCACTCCCCCTCCTCAATCTCTAGGTCTCCCTCCCCTCTCAATACATCCTCTGAAACATCTTTCTCCTCCTCCTCCCCCTCTCCTCCTCATTTTCCCTCCTCCTACCTTCCCTTCACCCCCTTCCAGCCTCAACCCTTCCTCCTGGATCCTCTAGCCTTCTACCGCCTGTCCCCCCTGCTGGCCCTCCAGCCTCTTCTGCAAAAATCCTCGGATTTCCACGAACAGCTGCGACTGCTCGCTGAGCGTCGAGCTCTCTTCGAAGCTTCGTGCACAGCTTCCCAGTCTCACGAAGAATCAAATCCTATCGATCTATCTGTTAAATAATTGTTATTGTTTACATCTATCTGTTTCTGTTTATCTTGTAGTCAACAAATTTGCATCTTATTTTTACTTTTAATAAATATTATATTCGTTTATATTTGTTAATTAAATTACTTATTAAAATCGTGTTTGTTTAACTCAAGTTCCATATAAAGCAATAGGACATCATTCCAAAGTTGTTTGCAATGAAAAACCAGAACTGATTGCTTGGAATTAAATACTTGAAAGAAACAAAAATTTAAAATATCAAAGGTTTCCCCATCGGGTTTCTTATATATTTAAAATTAGACATTTATATTTTGTTGAGAGTAATCAGATCCTTTGAAGAAGAATTAGTTTTCAGAGTTTTTATAGAGATTCAAATAAGATATTGCATATTAAATGCAAAAAGAAGTAACAATGGAATAAATAAAAAGTAAAACATTTCTTGGAAAAAAATATTAAAAAGGAAAAATAAAATTAAAGTCTGAGTTTCTTCTTTTAAATATGAAATTGATTGCAAAATATTTAAAAGGAAAACGAAACCTTTTCAAAAACCCTATTTGCAGTTGAACAACATATAAGATCATACATAAAATTGAATTTAATTTTAAAAAATATCTATAAAGAACTTTGAAGATTTTGAATGTATTGAAAAATACTCCGCAGAAAAAGCTTGTATTCTGTGAAAAAAATAGTGTATGATACATATTACTGGAGAAAGAATAAGTATACATTTAACTAATTTCCTGATAACCTAAAGAAAGGTAAACTTGTGATTGATATTATTATAAGAAAAGATAACAAATAAAATATTCTAAACCTTTGATAATAATAATAAATATAAAAAGCTTTAAAACTCCTAAACTAATCCTATTGTTTATGTAAAGGTCTAGGTCTAGTTCTAGAAAACCTTCCTTGGAATTTAAAGAAGAGGTTTCGTGAGTATTTTTATATATATATTTATGTTTCATGATCAGGATTTAACAGATCAGACCAAAACAGAACAGAATGGAACAGTACAGAAAAAAAACAGAACAAAACAGGATGGAATAGAACAGAATAGATCAGACCAGAACAGAATAGAACAATACAGAATTGATCAGACCAGAACTTAATGGAACCCAACAGAATAGATCAGACCAGAACATAATGGAACCTAACAGAATAGACCAGAACAAAACAGAATGTAATAGAACAGAATAGATCAGACCAGAACAGAATTTGAACAGAACAGAATAGATCAGACCAGAACAGAATAGAACAGAATAGAACAGAACAGAATAAATCAGACCAGAACATAATGGAATAGATCAGAATAGATCAGACCAGAACAGAATAGAACAGAACAGAATAGATCAGACCAGAACATAATGGAATAGAACAGAATAGATCAGACCAGAACAGCTAGAATAGAACAGAACAGAATAGATCAAGCCAAAACATAATGGAATAGAACAGAATAGATCAGACCAGAACATAATAGAATAGAACAGAATAGATCAGACCAGCACAAAATAGAACCAAAAAAATCAAAACAAAACAGACCAAAACAGAACAGAATACATAAAACAGAAAAAAGAACAAAACAGACCAAACAGGATTGTGTATCTGTGTATCTGTGTATCTGTGTTCCTGTGTATCTGTGTATCTGTGTATCAGTATATCAGTGTATCTGTGTATCTGTGTATCTGTGTATCTGTGTATCTGTGTATCTGTGTATCTGTGTATCTGTGTATCCGTGTATCTGTGTTTCTGTGTATCTGTGTATATGTGTATATGTGTATCTGGGTATCTGTATCTGTGTATCTGTGTATCAGTGTATCTGTGTATCAGTGTATATGTGTATATGTGTATCTGTGTATCAGTGTATCAGTGTATATGTGTATATGTGTATCTGTATATCTGTGTATCTGTGTATTAATGTATATGTGTATCTGTGTATCTGTGTATCTGTGTATCTGTGTATCAGTGTATATTTGTATCTGTGTACCTGTGTATCTGTGTATCTGTGTATTAGTGTATCTATATATCTGTGTATCAGTGTATCTGTGTATCTGTGTATCTGTGTATCAGTGTATCTGTGTATCTGTGTATATGTGCATCTGTGTATCTGTGCATCTTTTTATCTGTGTATCTGTGTATCTGTGTATCTGCATCTGTGTATCTGTGTATCTGTGTATCTGTGTATCTATGTATTTGTGTATCTGTGTATCTGTGTATCCGTGTATCTGTGTATCAGTGTATCTGTGTATCTGTGTATCTGTATATCCGTGTATCCGTGTATCTGTGTATCTGTGTATCTGTGTATCTGTGTATCTGTGTATCTGTGTATCTGTGTATCTTTGTATCTGTGTATCTGTGTATCTGTGTATCAGTGTATCTGTGTATCAGTGTATCTGTGTACCTGTGTATCTGTGTATCTGTGTATCTGTGTATCTGTGTACCTGTGTATCTGTGTACCTGTGTATCTTTATATCTGTGTATCTTTGTATCTGTGTATCTGTGTATCTGTGAATCTGTTTATCTGTGTATCTGTGTATCTGTGTAGCTGTGTATCTGTGTATCTGTGTATCTGTGTATCTGTCTATATGTGTATCTGTGTATCTGTGTATATTTCTAAGAAACTGTTGAATTGTGCAGCGGAACCAATTCTTCAAAGAAACACAGACCTTCGTCAAGATCATAGAAGAACACACAGGAGTACAGGAGTACAGGAGTGCAGGAGTACAGGAGTACAGGAGTACAGGAGTACAGGAGTACAGGAGTACAGGAGTACAGGAGTACAGGAGTACAGGAGTGCAGGAGTACAGGAGTACAGGAGTACAGGAGTACAAGAGTACAGGAGTACAGGAGTACAGGAGTACAGGAGTTCAGGAGTACAGGAGTACAGGAGTACAGGAGTACAGGAGTACAGGAGTACAGGAGTACAGGAGTGCAGGAGTACAGGAGTACAAGAGTACAGGAAAAAAGAGTACAGGAGTACTGGAGTACTGGAGTACAGGAAAACAGGAGTACATAAGTACGTACAGGAGTAAAAGAGTACTGAAGAAGTACATGAGTACAGGAGTACAGGAGAGTACTGCCTGAAAGATAAAAATCAAGGCTTTACAAAATAAATAAACGAGGGTTGACATGGCTGCATATTCTTACATTGGAAACAACTACAGTGTGTCCCACAAAACATGACTGTAGCAAGACGACTTGAAGCGTCTTTGATCTTCGAAATAGTTTGCGGCATTTATTGTTAAACCGAATTTTAGAAGTAAAATTCTAGAGTGAATAGTCACAAACTACGCATATATATAGTCTTGTTATTTCCAAAATGTGGTCTGCCTTTTTTGTGCTCTCAATATTACCGGCCATATTTTTAATTTTGTTCAGATTTCGACAATTTTTTTGGTTTTTTTTTTAAAAAATGAAACCTGAACAAAACTCTCAATATCTTTGGTAATATTGACAGCACGAAAAAATACTGACCACAGTTTGAAAATCCCAGATCTAGGAGAATTTTGTGGTTATTGTTTCAAGAATCATACATGTAAAAGAAGGTTGAGGACTGAATGTCTCAAATTAGTCCTGTACATGATTTTTATGTATCTTATATTTCGTAAAATATTAAATCAAATCGTATCTTTAACTATAACTTTAATATCACCCTCTATTAAAATTCCTCCTTTTATCTAAATGACAAATTTCAGTCAAATGGTGAGTTGATTCTTACCCCCCCTCCCCCCAATATGAACCGTTTAACATCTAATCTATTAAACTTTCCCTGATACTCCTCCCCCCCCAGCTCTTCCGAGTTGCCTCACTAATGCTCCGGAAGTGAGGGATAAATCTTACTTCCCTCATTTTATTAAATACCTCGATATTGTATACTCAGTATTAAACCTGCATTTTATTATGCAATGAAGTAGGACGTTCAATTCCATTTCTTTCTTCTTTTTTATTATTATTTTTGGTTTATGATATTGATAAATAATTATTATTAATAAAAGTTTTTAGAACTTATGAATTTCCGAGGAAAAAGTTTTTAAGTCAAAATTATTTGAATTTCCCAGATCATAAATATTTTTTTAACATAATAACCAAAAAACACTGAATTATGAAGACGACTTTTAGACTTAAGTTATGACTTTCAATGGTTCAATGAACAATGAACATAAAACACATAAATTAAGCAGTGTAAACACTTGATTAGTGATTTGATAAGTATCTAAAACTGAAGTATTGCTGTAATGTCGTCTTTCTGTTCTATTGTTTTCTAGTTCTTACTGTATTTTGACAAATTTCCTTCTTGTGTTAAATGAATTTTTTCACGCCGGATGTCGCGAATTAACATTCTAAGCTTAAAGTCCATTCATTCCCTATAGACAGTGCCTCGGGCTGCCTGGACAATTGGCCTGAGGGGCCTAGGATCACAAGGCTTGAAGAAAGCTCGTGTGAATTTTTAAATCAAATCAATCAGCTTAAAGGAAGTGTTCACGAAAATTAAGTTGATACTATACTCAAACCAGTAGTAATAGATACCATTATTGTTTCTGCCAGCTCTTTGCATCCATTTAATCTATGATGCACTTTATTTGGTATACGCTTAGATCCAAATTGGCTAAAAAAAATTAAGGGAATCCATTACTTTCCCAGGGCTAATAAAGGCCAAAAAATTCAAAATTTTGAAATTCCACAGGAAACGCCGGACTCTTCAGCTGAAATCATGAAACCGCGGGTAAACGTAGGGAGTAACTATGACTATGCATTCCTGGGCAACGCCGGGCACTCCTGCTAGTAATATATATTACAGTAATAATTTTCCCTGAAATAATAGTCTTTGAACAAGGAAATCTTGATTAATATGACGTTATTTGTCTTGGTAATCTTATATATACAATACATATATATATATGTCCATATTTTATGAATTTGCTAATTTGTTTAAGAACGTAAGAGAAGTATTAGAAAAAAATAAAACAGAATAAAAAACAAAAAATGAAAAAAAAGAATAGAACAGAACAAATTATAACTAAACGGAATAAAGTAGAACAAAACAGAAAAGAACAGAATAGAAAAGAACAAAACAGAACAGATCAGAACAGAACAGAACAGAACAGACCAG